TTAACAGAAGACTGGATTAGATAGTGACTCTTATATTAGACAGAAATCTGTTCCTCTAATTGTTTTAACCATGTTTGTGTATTTTCAGAAATGACGACATCTGACAACAAAAGAGAAAAATCCCAGGAAAAGCCTGGTAAGTCTGCTTCTCAGTTTGAACTAAAAGTGATATTATGATAAATGTGAGAGTTGGAAGTACAACACGTGTAAGAGATATTGTGGTTTTTATTTTTTTTAATTCATTCATTCATTAAGAAATGAAGAAATTGCATCTTGCAATCCGTCTCGGATGTGTTTTGGACCAGTCCATCATATGGTCTTTCTTTCTTTCTTTGTTTCTTTTTTTTTTTTTATTGAGCCGATGATGTGAATTATACACTTTCTGTATCCGCCACTGGTTCTGATGAGGAAAAATGTGAACTGTGAGATATAAACTCAAAATTGCAAGAAGAAAAGTATCTCAAAATTATGAGATAAAAAGTCACAATTGCTTTTTTTATATTCCTCGTCCATGACGGAAATAATCTTCCATACGATCCACACGCTGTGATTGTGCTTTCAGTCTGACAGCAAAAGTGGAAAAGACCAGCAAAAAGCAAAGTCTGGTAAGATCCAAAAACTCAGTTTCTCAGTTTGAGCTGAAAGTGATCTTACCATTCAAACATTTGCGTCAGATGCATGTATGTTTATGAATATTTGTTGATAAATGTCATGGGCTCACCTTGTTTCTCAGTCACAATCTCTGTGTGATTTCAGATTTTCCTGTAATAGTTGCGGTTTCTGTGGGTTTGCTCCTGCTGGCTCTGGTTATAGCGTTAATCTTATTCAAACTGAAACGCAACAAACATGGTGAGACACAAACACACTACTGCACATTTAGAAAATATGAACTTGTCTCCCTCTGCTGGTCAAAAATACACAGTTAAAATCATCTCATTTTCTGCATCTCAGATGTTTCTCTTGTTCACACAGGCATCATTTCCTCAACAGACAGAAGACAGAAAGGGGATCATGAAACGGTGAGTTTCAGAACTGTAATCTACATCTCAATATGTGAAATGTCTAAGCTGATACTCTGTGCTTCATGTTTTGGAGATTTCACTTCTTACAGACTCAAGAAGACATTCGAGACGCCAGAGACCATTCAGATCCTGAATCAAATCCTCTCTATTCGACAGTACAGTTACCCACAAACCCCTCTGATTCACAGAATCCACTTTACTCCACGGTACAGTCACCCACAATCCCCTCTGATGGGCTCCTGTACGCTGCTGTCAGTTTCCAGAAGCATGAAGAGTCTCTCAGTGACGCTACAGTCAGATTCAGTAAAGAGGAGATTCACTCTGATTACGCATCTGTCAATCGCAACATCTCGCCAAATTAATATCACCACTGGATTTTTGTTTTTATATACAACTTGAATGGTGTCAGTCACTGAGAAAAATGACTGAATGACACAATCATTCAATTTCATCGAGCAAGTTATTGAGCAGTCAGCGACATCTACAGGTCAGTGTTGGGAAAAACCTGAAATGTTTCTCTGTGACTGAAGAAAACATCACCCCTTACCCCTTGTTTACAATGCACACGTTTGCGGCGTGTTACGGCTCCAACAAGGTTTTGTTTCGTCCTTCACGCAGTGCTAACTCACACCAGGAGCATTTCAGAAGCCATGCAACTTGATTCACGAGACCACATGATTTGCCTGTCCGACATTGTTTTTCTTGATTTTTGGGGTTCTACCATGGTTAAGTTGGCTAAATGGTTATGTTTTGTCCAGTTTAATTGTGTTTATTGCTATGTCCTGCTTTGTTGTACTGTAGCCTACATATAAAGTTAATACACTTAAAAGTTCAGTTATGTGTGACAAGGATGAAAGATTTGTAGTTGTGTTTAAGTCTGCACAGGATGTTTATTTTGTATTTAAACTGTACTGTTGGATGCGTTATCTGTCAAAAATAGACTAGGCGCCTATCTTTAGCGAAGCAGCGTGTAGAGCAACTTCTGGGATGCTTCATAAGGGTTTTTTACACTGCAAACGTCTGCGGTGTGTTATGGCTCCGACACGGCCACGGGAGCTGATCGCAGCCAGTCTTGTTAAAGCTTGTGTTTATAGCAGCTGTGTCTGCGGCACATTTCTGAAGTTTTCGTGACATTACTTTGGTGGTTGAAAGAACGTCAGTGTATGGATGTCAAATGGCCCTAAAGTTTTTGACGTCAGTTTGATTTGGATTTTTGACGCCAGTGTTTGATGTCAATTTAATGTCTTTCCAACATCAAGTTGCCCACTGGGTAATAAACTTCAGATTCAATAAGAATTTGTGAATTGTGTTTATGATACTTCTTTTATGAATATATAATTTTATTTTGTGCATGTAAAATGCTTTTTGTGAATATACATATAATTTTTATCCTTTGCATGTGAATTGTTTTTTGGTGCATGTGAATTAGGTTAGATGAATGTAAAATTGGCTGTGCATGTCTGCATCATGTCTTTTGCATGAATTATTACTGAGACTAATCTCGCTCCATATGAGCTGGATAATCCAGTTAATGGCTGCGTCTGAAATCTTACACAGCTGGATTGATGTGTACACAGCCTTATCAGGCAATGACTTTGCAGGCAGCGTTTGCAGACAAATTGACCTCACGCAACTTCTGAGGCAGAATAACAGTTTAAGGATCTAAAACAAAATAGAGTGAGCTTCGATCATAGCTAAGCAAATATTGAATTACTCTATTAGACATTTTTCATTAGAAATTAGAAGTTATTTGCTAAAGTAATCAACCCAGTATGACCCCAGCTGAGGGTCAGACAATCAAAAATGGTTTTATTCTCAATTATGTTTTCAATTACATTTGCAACTAGTAGCCTATGTACAAGCTATATAAGTTCAGACATCATATGTCAAATTCATTTGGATAATCACTATCATTTTAAAGGCAAATACACATTAATCCACATTTGTAGACACATTAATTTCATCCAATACAATTGTATAGTACACTCTGGTTTGTGATTTTTGTGGTGCTTGGCTGTGTTTTATTTTAACAACTCTTTGGAAATTTAAGGTTGAATCAAGTAGCCAGCCAACGTGAAAAAGGTCTTTTCCCCCAGCATCTTAAACTAGCATATTTTTGGACATTACATGTGTTTTACCTACTTTTTTAATGACCCCTGATTAACTTTTTTTTATTATTATTTTCTTAAATTAATCCCGAGAATATACTCTTAGAAGAAAATATTCTATATAGAATATTTTATGGATTTATTTATTTAGTTTCGTTTTAATTCACTTTACTTGCATTTTATTACATTTAATGAAACAGCTTGTAAACATACTTTATCACCAGAAAAATAAATACATAAATAAATAAACAAACATTAAAGTATTATGCCATAAATCAAGATATTTCTCCTTACAGAGAAGCTTTCTGGCATAAAGTGTTGTTTAAAATTGAGTCAAGAATCCTACACAGTAAATCCCCAAGTGTTAAATTAACACTGCTCGGAGCATATATGGTCCCACTCTAAAAGAGTGTTAAAGTAACACTGAAGCAGTGTTAAAGTTAATGAGATAATTATGTGATTAATTAAGTGCTGATTGAGCATTAGTGATGAACAGCTGCTGTTAACAAGCAGAATCACTGAAGAAAAGAGAAACACAAGAACTACAACTGACTTCAGCCACAGCCTTAGATGAAATCAACTGAAATAAAAGACATTAAATCTCTCAAGATCTCAGCAGAAGATGATTAATCATCTCCACAAACAGCATCACCAGCTTCACACATTACTAACCAGTTAGACTTTATTTCTGGAGTATCTAAGACAGAAGTTCTTTATTGAGAATTAATGTTTACATTTTTTTTCCTTCAACTTACCGTTTTTGTGAATAGTGGTTGCTTTAGTTGCCTCTTGACTTTTTAAGTTTCCCATATATGCTCCAAGCAGTGTTAATTTAACACTTGGGATTTTACTGTGTGTTGTTTTATACACAGCCCCATATAACCTTTTTCTCTGACTGTTATCTTATTTTGAATATTTGTATTATTTAAATAAATAATGATTTAGATAACATGTCTTCTCCTTGTACTTTTATGAGTTTTAATAAAGTTTTGTGAAGTGGTGAATGCGTATTGCACGAGTTGATATTCAGACATAGTCATCCAGGTTTTATTTGAATCTTTTAAGCAGTGAAGAAAGAAACAGAAACATTCGTTTGGAAATCCCATATTATGACAACTGAATACAAATGTACTGAGAGATACATACAAACAATAGGTGTTTTATATCTATCTATTTTTTAGTATTTTAACTGCTTATCTCCTGCCAATGGAAAAAAATAAATAAATATGTTATTTTTTTATTTACAGCATTAAAATGAAAGAATTAACAAGGGTAAATTAGATTTTATGATTACAAATTACACCTCTGATTGTGATTTATAGGTTGAAGAACTAGGATAATAAGCAGAAAAAATAAAGCTTGTATTGTATATAAGCATGCATTCATTATAGTCCATTTTTAAAATGCAGATAAACAACAGCAGAAGTGTGATTTACCCATGAACCTGTAGTTAATGGTTACATTTATGTATGCTCTTTTTTACTTTATTTTACATTTTAAAATTTTTAATTATTTTAATCATTTTTATTTTCAGTTTTTAGTCATTATGAATCTATTTTGATTATTTGATGATATTTTAATTCCTTTTATGTAAAGCACTTTGAATACCTTTGTGAATGAAACTTGCCTTACCCAGAATTGTGTGTACTTTTGTTTGTGGTTTTTGAGAATGAAAAAAAGGCACATCACAACCTGTCCATCAGTCTAATGTGAAGAGCTTCACTCAACGACAGATTCATTTACAATACAGTTTGATTGGACACACAACTAGCATCAAAGGTTATATATTAAGCAGTTAGTTAGACAATCATATTTATTTTGCATCCAAACTACGTGAATCTTCTTCTTCTTCTTCTTCCTCCTCCTCCTCTTCTTCTTCTTCTTCTTCTGTCACTTGCTTTAAGATTGTTAACCGACCTTCACCTGTTATATAACCCAGTCTTGTAATTGCTGCAGCTGCTAAAACTATAACTGCAGTAACTATTAGCATTCCAGCCCAACTAGAAAAAAGCCTTCAGGAACTGTCTGCGGCATGTTGAAGTGCTCTGTGCTGTAATAGTGCCCTCTGTTGTTTCGCAGCATTCGCTCCATCTCCTCTAGCAGCTCTGTGACCTGATCTGTGTTTCGTCTGTCTCTGTTGTTGAACGAGTGATATCTGCCATCACACTGGTCGATCAGACGCTGGAGATCAGGACTTCGTCTGATGTGATCTTCCACAGATTCACCGTTCAGATGATCAGCGTGAGTGAAGAGGATGAAGGTGTAATTCACAGCATCTTCTCCAAAATTGTTCTGAATCCACGTCACAAAGTTCCTCTCTTCTTCTGTGAGTTTCACATCCAGCCTGATGACCAGCAGAATCACATGAGGACCAGAAGCAGACGTAAGAGCACTGTTCTTTATCTCATTCATCAGATCCTCTTCACTGACTGCTGGGTTAAACAGTCCTGGAGTGTCGACTGCTGTGATGGTTCTTTGGCCCACAGCTGCTTTTTTACTCATACAAACTGAAGTAACAGCATTCTCGCTAAATATACTTTCGCCCAGGATTGTGTTTCCAGTTGCACTCTTGCCTGATCCAGTTTTTCCTAGCAGCAAAAGCCTCAGATCTGCAGGTCAGAGAGAAGGTAACACTGATGAGGGGTGTCCAGTGCTGCTGCTATAAGGCCACCTTCCAGCAGAGTTAACTCCAAGCCTAATTAAACACACCTGAACCAGCTGATCAAAGTCTTCTGGATTATTTGAAAACGTCAGTGTGTTGAAGCAGGGCTGAAAGTAAACTCTGCAGGACTGTGGTCCTCCAGGAACTGAGTTTGCAGCCCTGCCCTAAATTCTCTGTGTGTACAAAACACAACTCGCTCCTGAAACTGCTGACACTGTGGTAACCATAGCAACATTCTGGCATCTTGGCATCATGGTCGGTATCCTCTATTCTGAACCAAGTAATATTGGTTCAAAAACACACAAAAACAGATATGCACTAACCTTGTTCATAAGCTTTCTTTAATTCATCAATCAGATATATGACTTTGCTTTCTAACTCCAGTTTCTTCTGACTCAAAGAGTCAAAGTTTCTCTGTAACTGGTCTTTCCCATCAGTGAGATCTTTGATTCTGGTCTCCAGCTCCAGTTTCTTCTGATTCAAAGAGTTGAAATTGTTCTGCAGTTGATCTCTTTCAGTAATCAGATCAGTGTAACTGTCCTGTAAGTCGTTGATAGTTTTACTTAACTCCTCAACTGTGTTCCTGTAACTCAGCAGGTCTTTCTCTGCTTTGATGATGAAGACCAGCAGAAGAGCACAAATGAGACTCAGTGTCACCAACCATCTACTTCCTCCTGACAAACAGGGAGAAAACACACAAATATCAATTATTAACAGTTCACTGCATATTACAGTGTTTGCATAATTATTATGAAAGTCAATATTCTGAGAATACTAATATCTTTTGAAGCACATTTAAAAATTTCCAAACCACATTAATCTTAATAACTAAGATTAACTTTGTATACAATCATTTATAAGTGATATGTAGTTGCTAATGAAGGCTGGAAGTGAAAACACCTTTCCTTCAGTGGCTCAGAAAAGGTCCAATGTGGTTTATTTATTTGCTCTTGGCTGACATGTGGCATTGCTATGGCCTGCTTTTGGCCAAGATCTGGCAAACAGGAGCGGTCCACCCAAGTGCCATCATTACACATGTGCCAGATGTGGGCCGGATCTGGGCCGACACTATGCTGCTATCTGTCTCCAGTGCTACCATTGTTCAGGGCCCATATTTATCAAACTTCTGAGAATTACTCACAAGAGCACTGCTAAAAATTGACTTAAAGGTGTCATCGGATGCGAAATGCACTTTTACATGTTATTTGAACTGAAATGTGTGTTGGCAGTGTGTGTACACAACCACCCTAAAATGATAAAAGTCCACCCAGTGTTTTTTTTTATATAATCTCCTAAAATCATCCCTTTCTCAAATCGAGCCGTTCTCAGATTCCTGTCTGTGTGACGTCACACAGACCCAGGCCCCTCCCACGATTGTTGATTGACAGTGGCGTCAGTCTTTGGTTTTATCACAGCCCCGCCCTGAGTGACTGTCATCAGTCCACCATTGTTTCACCGCCGGAGCAGATGTAGACAAGAATGACTCCTAAGCGATTGAGGTGTTCTGTTGTTGGATGTAATAATGAACATAGCAGTCGTCATTTACTCCCGACATCTGAGCCGCTGAAGACGCAGTGGATTACATTTGTTTTTGAAGGGAATTCGCCCCCCGATCTAACTAAATGCATCTATGTTCGCGCAAATCATTCGTGATCCAGCTTCACCAACAGAAGAATGGAGTATAAGGTTTTTTTTATGAATCTTTGCAAATCGCCTTTCCTAATAATGTGCTAATTAGCAAGTTCCGCGGCTAAAGTTTACAGTCTCTCAGAGAACAGCTCGTCACCCCACAGAAGAGAGGGGCGGGGTCAGCAGAGCTCATTAGCATTTAAAGGGACATGCAACAAAACGGCTTGCTCTGAAAAGAGCTGTTTTTGACAGGGTAAAAAGGTGTTTTTTACACTATCATTGAGAAATTTTAACCAAAGTATGTTATAGACTTTTCATTAAGACCCTAAAGAATCATATCAACTTGAACTTGAACTTGGAAAATGGGCATCCAATGACCCCTTAAAGAGTAACAAAAATTCTTGGCTCAAAGCTGCTCTTAAAAGGTAGTTATCCAGCATCTCAGTTGTAATTTAAGTGAAGTGTAGGACTAAATCTTGAGTGTCAGTCTTAAGCCCGAGACACACTGCCCGATTTTCAGCTGTCCCAGACGAAAGATTGGCATCTTGAAACAATCATGGGGATTTCTGTGAACATGGCTCCTAACCGGTGGTCCTATGTCACAGTGTGATCGGCAATGATCCTATAGGATTACTAAAACCGTGCAGTGTGTAGAAGGCTTCAGAGATGATTCACAAGACAGATTTTGGATGACGACATAGGCATGGACCAATCCCTGAATATTTCCATATCTAAGAATATTCTCAGATAAATTCACATTGAATGGTGAAATTCCTAAAAGAAGTTTACATTCAACACACATTTGACAATAAATAATTTTTAAGAGAACACATTGTGATATACACATTGGAAATTAACGATAAACACATTTTCCACCGTGTCTTAATTACAAATTGTAAACCGGTGTGTTGTTAACTGACCTGCCTATGCCGATAAATGATACGATAGTCAGAGATATCAACTGTTGCTGATGCCTTTGGTGATAGCAAGATGATGATGATTACTATTATTATTATTATCTATAAAAAATGGACTATAGGCAGCTATCTTTAGCGATGCAGCGTGGAGAACCGCTTCTGGGACGCTTCAGATACGGCTGGTATAAATACAAGCATTGACTAGATTGGACGCGATCAGCTCTGGGGACTGTGTTGGAGCTTTAGAAAAACTGGGCTTCAGACATGTGCAGTGTAAATAAGAGGCAAGATATTTATTCATTATACAGTGTAGATAGCTTCACTTATTATAACGGGAGTGCTTTTAAACTGCATAATGCTCGCGCTAGACTGAAGTCATGTTCTTTGGTAATGTAAATGTTCTTTGCTCCTTTTCTGTAGCTGATTTTTGAATAACAGAGATAATGTAAGCATTATAATTAGTAACTTACGATTTTTATATTAAATTGTTATCATGTTAAATACAAATTCAGTCATATTTTTGCATTAGACTGCTTTTAGCCTTATGCTGGTGTTGGTTCACTTTCCGGCAATCAAACTAAGCAAATAATTATATAAATCAGCGTTCTAACAGGCTGACGATAGGACAATATGACATTTGAGCATATTGCCCCACACTACTATATAGCCTAGATTTTATGATATAACCAGCCACCATGGATTTCAAAAGAAAACCGAACTGGTGGGAGGAAGAAGCGCTATTGCTTGTTAAATTAGTCGAACAGCGGAAACATGTTATAAAAGGCAAGCATAGTGTTTGTGTGTGTGTGTGTGTGTGTGTGTGTGTGTATATATGTATATGCGTGTGTGTGTGTGTGTGTGTATATGTATATGTGAGTGTGTGTGTGTGTGTAGCACAACTGCTATATATAGCATAACTTTTCACCATCGATGTCTGATTTTATGTTTACAGTTTTGAGGAAGCTGTCATGACATTTAGGGAAAAGGTGCAATAGTTTTATTAAAAGTGCTCACCGGATTGTGTTCCGATTAAACGTTCTTCTCGGATTCTTTCATAAGAGAATGACAGCATTATGTCTGATGAATTTCTTCTTTGTAGAATAATTTCTCCATGTACACAAGTTGTTTTCTTTGTTTGTTGGATATTAGGAATAAAACATTCGTTCTGTGGTATTAACAGAGCTTGTGTTATTCTTTCATCCATTGGACTGTTTGTTTCAAAATTCTCCCAAACTATTTTTTTGCTTGCTCTTGTCTCTCTCTCTTTTCTTGTACTGTTCTTCTTCTTGTCTTGTGTCTAGCAGTTCATTGGACAATTAAGTGATTAATTAAGTGCTGATTGAGCGTTAGTGACGGACACATGCTGTTAACTGACCTCCGGCCACAGCTTTAGATGAAATCAACTGAAATAAAAGCAGAGGATGATTAAACAACTCCACAAACAGCATCACCAGCTTCACACATTACTAACCAGACTGACTTTAATTCTGTCAGACGACTACAGAAGATGGGATTGAGAATTACAGAGGTTTAGATGATGAGGTTAGTGACTGGTTTATTTTAGTTGGATTCTTGACCCTTGATAACTTATGTTACTTTTTTCCTCACTCCTGTAACTGTGTTTATAAAACACATTCATTGTCCATCACCAAAAATTAATACATACTGTAATCTCAAAAAAAGATACACAATATAAAACACTGCGTTTCATTCACCATCATCTCACAGAGAACAGAATAATGAAGTTGTAGGGATTTTCTATTTCATAGATATTTACATGGTGGAATTTCTTTGTGTCTTCTCATATGTGAGCCTGGAGCACAAAAGCAGTCTTAAGTCGCTGGTGTATATTTGTAGCAATAGCCAACAATACATTGTATGGGTCAAAATTATAGATTTTTCTTTTATGCCAAAAATCATTGGGATATTAAGTAAAGATCATGTTCCATGAAGATATTTTGTAAATTTCCTACTGTAAATATATCAAAACTTAATGTTTGATTAGTAATATGCATGGCTAAGAACTTCATTTGGACAACTTTAAAGATGATTTTCTCAATATTTAGATATTTATGCACCCTCAGATTCCAGATTTTCAAATAGTTGTATATCGGCCAAACATCAGTGGCAAGCTTATTTATTCAGCTTTCAGATGATGTATAAATCTCAATAAAAAATGTAAAAAAAGACCCTTATGACTGGGTTTGTGGTCCAGGGTCACATATAGTCTTTAATAGAGATAAAACTTGAAACCAACACAATATTTTTTATTTATTTTTTTTGCTAGGAAATTATACGCTGCAAAACAGGAAATATTTATTGCAGTAATTTTCTCCAGCAAATAAATAAACAATAAAGCTTGATGTTGCAATGCATGCTGGGTACCATATTTGCATGAAACTTATAGTCTCCCAATATGCATTGCAACATGAATACATTTTGCAGATAAATTGTCGTATTTCTATTTTTTATTTATTTTTTCTGTTGTGACTTCAGTTGCTTGTTTTGTGATGTTCAGGGCTTTTCTCTATATTTAGTTGATTGTCACCTTTGTGGCCATTCATATGCTGATTCTTGATATCTGTGTCTAAAAGATGCTGTTGGTCAAACCTTTCTGTCCACATTGTTATTACAATAAGTACCATAATATTATACATCAATCATATGATTAGAGCTTTAGACTCTGAATGAAATCAGTGAATCCGGTCACTACATGATGATAATGTATAATACAATGTGTGACTGTTTTTCTGTGACCATCCATTTGTGTGATAATTGCCGTTTCTGTGGGTTTGATTCTGTTGATTGTGTTTAGAGCTCGTGTTATTTAAACTGAAATGCTGCAGCAGACGTGACGAGACAGAAACTACAATCAATGATTTTGACACCAACATTCATCAAAACACTGGACTTTTCCATAACACCTCACAATAAGTATTTATAGTGAAGTACTTCTAATAAAAAACTGTTTGTGTATGTAAAAGGCTTGGTGGGTGGTTCATAGCTGAAATAATGTGTGATTTGTCAAGTGTAATGTTTTTTTTTTCTTTTAAAGTTCAGCAGGTTCCAACTGTACATGTAAATGTAAATGTAAATGCTCCTGCAAATAAAACATTCTGTGGTTCATTTAAATGAAGTATGCAGTGAAACACACACGCCTGTGTGTGAAGAACAGGCGATCTTTGTTTCCATTCTGAACTTTCACTCTGCTTTATCACTGTTAAGGCATGTTCACTGTTAAGGCCAAGGACGATAACTAAAAAGATAACAATAAAGAGATTTAGCTCTAAAAATCGTTCTCAGTATTAAAGAATAGCAGAGTCCACACCACACCACATGCTGTAACAAGCTCGAGAATTTAAAGCGGCAGACGAGCGTGCACTTAGAATAGATATCGTCCGCTGGTGTGGACGCTAGTTATCGTTACAGTTATCCTTCTTGGTGTGAACAGGCCTTTATAGACTTAAAAAAAAAACAATGAAAGTTAAGCTATCTTGTCAGTTAAAATGGTTTAATGTTTAACTTTAAAATAAAGAATAGACCTTCAAATATAACAAAAATGCAATGAAGGTTTATAAAAAGTGCAAACAGGAAGGTTTTTTGGTCCAATCTCCATGCACAAGTTTCAAATATTTACAGCCATTAATACTATATTATCTTAAAGTATTGTACATGCAATAAAATTAAATCTCATATATCAGTATTTTTCACCTTATAAACACAAACTTTATTATTTTTATTGAATTGGGTGATAAAATTGAGTGATATTTACTTTTAAATTTAGGCAATTTTTTACAACTGAAAATGTTAAGATTTGATTTTGCATTTTGCACTAATGCATCATTAAAAAACACAAGCCCCTGCCCCTTTAATCACAGATGCTAAAAGTGCCCTTTTGGCCCAATCTAGATTGCAAACATCATGAAAAAAGAATGTAAAGATGAAGGAAAAAAAGTATATAATTTGCTTCAGAAAAGAAAAAAAATCTCATATTTTCTTTTTGTATGGCTTTTTTGAATTGTAATTACTTCCGAAAAGTAGAAAGAACGGATTAATTTAGTCAACTAGATTAATTTCAGTTTACTAAATAAAAAAAAAGACTATTTACAGTGTAGCGTATCATATTAGGTGATTTAATTTACACTAACCTTCATATGTGATGCCATTATGTCTCATGCAGCTGTCATTCAGTCTCTCTGTTTGACTTCGATCTAAAACAGAAACTGAAAGTGTGTCAACTGAACTTTGACCATTGAATGTCAGCTTGATGCTTCATTGGCCAGGACCATGAACAATGCCAGTTTATCTCAGAATTTAATCGGAGCTGGTATTGGTTACTATTTGAATGGAGTAACTCATGGACCAACAGGTGTTACAGTATATAAGCTCCAATATATTGTGTTGCAGTCAGGGCTGGGCTTGCTTGTTTGTTTTTAATATAAAAAGTTCAAGTTTTGGCATTTGTAAAAGCCCTTCCACACTAAAAGTGAAATAAATAAGCCTCAGGCTGAAGGAAATGTAAATTCACGTCTGTACAGTAGAAGGTGCAGCTCAAACAAACCTTTCAGCTGAGAGACGAGCAGAAACACAGATGAAACATCATCATCTGAACCTCTGTTAATTCTCATTCAGCGCTTCTGTAGACATCTGACAGAAATAGTCAATTCAGTTAGTAATGAGTTAAGCTGGTGAAGCTGTTTGTGGAGTTGTTTAATCATTCTCTGCTGAGATCACAAAAGATTTAATGTCTTCTTTTATTTCAGTTGATTTCATCTAAGCTGTGGCTGGAATTCTTGAACAGTTGGATTTCTTGTGTTTCTGCTCGTCTCGTCTCTTTTTAACTCTTCTTGAGATGATTATATAAAGAAAACTGGTTAAGACTTCATCCAATTTAGGGTATAGCTGAGATTCTGCATTGGCTGACAGTAACTCTTGAAGGGTCAGAAATGAGCTTGAATGATTAATTAAACGTTAATGATATCTTATAAAATTAAGAGTTTGAAGGGCTGTCAGTAGAAACCTGTTGTAGTGAGTGCTGAATTACAGCAGAGGGCAGCAAATCACCATTACACTGCTCTAGCCATCTTGTCCATTTGTACCTTGTGTTTGAGACTTATGGTCAAGAGACCATAAGTCTTATGACCATAAGTCTTATGGTTTGAGACTTATGGTCATGTTTTGACATTGGTGGGGACCATAAACTTTTATATTAACTGTTGTGGACTGCTGTCTTGAACTGGGTGCGATACCTGCGAGTCGTTCTAAACGTGGTTGCACTTTCGTGGGGAAGTCGTGGCCTAATGGTTAGAGAGTCGGACTCGTAACCCAAAGGTTGTGGGTTCGAGTCTCGTACCGGCAGGGATTGTAGGTGGGGGGAGTGAATGTACAGTGCTCTCTCCCACCTTCAATACCACGACTGAGGTGCCCTTGAGCAAGGCACCGAGCCCCCAACTGCTCCCCGGGCGCCGCAGCATAAATGGCTGCCCACTGCTCCGGGTGTGTGTTCACGGTTTGTGTGTGTTCACTGCTGTGTGTGTGCACTTTGGATGGGTAAATGCAGAGCACTAATTCCTAGTATGGGTCACCATACTTGGCCACATGTCACGTCACTTTTTTCACACTTCTCCTCCGTTGTGCGACCACCTTACTGCACGTTCTTACTCCGTCCTTGAAAGCGCGCAGTTTTCTAACGTATTTACTTTAACTTCCTATGTAATGTATGACATTACAGATGAGTCCGAAATTACATTTTGTAATTTGTAATTGTTTGATCAAAATTATTGCTAGGGACAGTTTGGTAGTCGCTGGATATTGGTAGGGACATGTCCCTGGCGTCCCCCTTAATTCTACGCCCCTGCTTATGATATCAGTCGCTTCGAGTTACTATACCTGTACAAAAGCAGTCAATTATGCTGCTTTATGTTGCAAATCATTTTATCTCATTATCAGAATCATAAACACGCTGATTTGTACCGCAAGCAGTTTTACCATTTACTGCACTTTGTTGTTCTTTCAGTCATTTATCAATAACAGCTAATGAATCTGAAGCCTCGTATATTCACCAAAAATAAAAAATAAATACTTCCATAAAACTCATATTATTGTCATGACAAGGAGATAAATGTTTTTGCACATTGAGATGAGATTACATGCAAACACAATCATAAACATCAGAAATGCTTCTGCAATGCACTAAACCCTCAAAGTGCTTCAAGAACATGGTTGTGGCTGATTTTCTCTGAAAGCAGAAATGAAAGGATGTGGGATCCACAAATAGATTGTAATAGATGATGACATACCAGAAGAGCCTGCTGATCTCTTAGAACACTGTGTAAATCTTATGTTCATTGAATGTTGTGAAAGGCCATGAAATTGATAGAGATGCACCCTGTGCATCTACTGTATGCTCTTACTGAAACAATTGTCACTCATGACAGCTTTTCTGTGATTTCTGTGATGAATGCAGAATGAAGCTTTAAATCCCTTGAAACAGTTACTCATGCTGTTATATTAATATACTGACGTGTCATCTGCCTTGTATGTGTTTATACAGCATGTTTCTCTGCATGTCTTTCCCACATATCGGCTCTGTCTGCAGAGCAGGTGGGTGGAAACCTTACAGAGAATAAGGAAGCAGAAATGTGAGAGAGACCGATGGGGGGGGGGTGCTTATGATGACAACTTAAACTTGCATTGATGCATCTGGCAGATGCTTTCATCCAAAGCAACTTAAACAGCATTCAAGGTTCACATTTCATCAGCTCTTGCTCTCCCTGGATTGTGATCTGATCTGGTTTTTCTCTGAATATCTGAACCAGAATGACGGCCGCCACCACCATCACCACCATCTTCATCACTCTCTGTCTGATCTCAGGTCAGTTCTTTACTGGTCAAATAATATTTTATATCATATGGCCCGGGTTGATTATATAATAACCCAGAGCAAATTAACTTGTGTTTGGCAGGCCAGGTACTTTGTTTTAAAGTGATTGGCTGCACTGGAGGGAGTGTAATGTTCAAGTGCATGTATAAGTCTGATGAGCAACATAACGCAAAACCCCCGAACCAGAGAGAGCCTAATGATCAGCATAAAGGAAAGTATTTCTGCGGAAACAGAGACTGTACGACAGGAATCAGTACTGAGACTCAGCGCCGCTGGGATTATAATGAGAGATTCGCTCTGTATGACGATGAAAACAGCAGATTCTTCACAGTGTTTATCAGGCACCTCAGCAGAGAGGATGATGGGAAATACACATGTGGAAACAAGCAGAAATGGAGTCATGATGTTGAGTTAGTGGTGAACAACAGTACGTATGATACTTTATAACTTACTACAGTAATTATTTCTACTATAGCACAATTTAAAGGTGCACTACGGAAGACTTGGTGACTGTGCAAGTACATAAGTCATGATTCACAACAGTAGCTTACAATAATGATTCATAATTTGAGCTGTTGAGACAGGAAAAGTTCAGCTTTACATCATGTCATTCCTACAAACTTACCTGTTCAGATTATGTTTTTTCTGGATATATGCCTTGCAGGATGTACATTTGTCTGTCAATATATCTTAATGAAGAATGACAGATCTGCTCTGATCACAGGCAACCATAAATATACCTAAAAACAAGAATTACAAAAAAATTAACTGCAAGAAACATGACACTGTATCTGTCAAACAGAGATGGCGATAGAGAGGCCAAAGTTCCCTGTAGTGCACCTTTAATAATAATAATAATAATATTTTAAAATTTCCGTGCATTTCACAATGATTTATTTAAATAATTTTCAGCGTCTTCTTCTTGTGGGACGTCTGTTATCCAGACTGCATATATTGGTCAAACGATCACTTTCAGTTGTGAATATGACCATAAGTTTAAAAAACACACCAAAGTCTTCTACAGAGTGAAGGGAGATCCTGTGCTTGTGCTGAACAGCTCTCAATCATCTCAATCATCTGAAGAGAAGTTCATCCTGACTGACAGACAGAAAGATCACTTTACTGTGACCATCAGAGACATTTCTGCAGCGGAGCGTGGAGTTTATTTATGTGGAGTGGAGAGAGACGGATCTGATAAACCACCTTCAGAAACATCAATTACTCACATAACCTTCATTAAGGAGATTGAGCTGAATGTTTCTAGTGAGTTTAGCTTCATTTTAATGAAAAAAGTCCTTATCAATTCTCCAAATAAGAAACGTAAATTGCACCTGACTGTTAATAATGTAATAAATAAATCTTGTCTTGCAGGTCAAATAACTTCTGTCCAGGTTGAGGCCTACATCAGTAAAGCAGTCTTCATCACGTGTAAATTTCCACAAGAATTCATAGAAAACAAGAAATTCATCCAGAAAGATTCATCACAGAAGATCCCTGTTGATGAACAGAATCAGTGGGTCCCTCATGATAAAGTGCTCATGTATGATGATACCAGTGAAGGAGTTTTGAAGGTTTTTATCAGAGATTTAACAGCAGCTGATGAAGGAACGTACAGATGTGGAGTGAATACCGCTGACGATCATCTGTTCACTGAGATCACACTGATAGTCAATCGAGGTATTTTTATTAATATTATTATTTCAAGGGGTGTAGGCACCTATTGTTATTGTTAGTGTTCTTATTCTTCTTTCGCTTACGAGACTCTGGCAGAGCTGCCTGTGGAGAAGTTGTGAAATTTGTCACAGATAAAAGGACAGTCTCAACATTAACCACAGTAAATGTGGAGTCTGTAACTCGATCCATCTAGCACCAAGAACTGTCCGATTGCATTAAGAAGAAAAAAAAGAAAACTTTCTGCCATTTTAATTTACCAAAACCTATTTTTTCAAACCTTTCCTAGACAGTTTATCTGATTTTCACCAATATTGGCTCAGATCATTATGAGACCATGTGGATAAAAATTAATTATAAGCTTTCTGATAGACCCAACTAGAGCCCTTCGAGGGACTGTTTTCTTGCTCCTGCTACTCCCGGCTCCCACTGAATTTCTGACCATTACTGCCTGATCCCACGATTTTTGATTCCACTCCTGCAAACATTATAATATTGAATATAATTTTCACGCATCAGGGAGCAGCTATTAATATGCAGGATTTTGAAATGGCGTTTGAATGAGCACTCGCTGTTCACTTTCACGTTTGATTTTGTGATCACGCACACTCTGTGTAAAGGGAACACATTTTACAAGATATTTCTCTTTATCTTATTTCTCCATGGTCTGTCAGTCATCTCTGCTTACTCTCGAACCATGATCAGTCAAATCTGACTCCTGCAGCTCCTGTTGGATGTATGTTTTTTCCACAGAATTGGGATACTTTTACACTGTTGCCGTGGGTTGGTCTTTTTCCCCGTGGGTTGAAGGTTTCAAATATAGCATGAAATACAATTGACATGCAATATTTGAAATGCTTGTATTGAAAAAATTACATTCTACCTATGATAGAACTGTGCTAGGTTTCGTTAAGGCGGGCCACTGGTAAGAAGCCTCTGAGCTGTGTTTATGACCAGTGTGCATAACAGTGACTACAAAATAAGCCTAGGCAATAAAATGGTATCTGTATTTATCGACAGTACACCTTCATCGATAACAATGAAAATGTTCAATATAGCGCACGATGTAGGCACAGAAAGCACACACAAACACATGCTGAAACGAGTGCTGTGCCTGCCTGTGATGAGTATATTGTGAATAAAAAAAATTAATATTAGTCTAATTTAAAATAAAATGTGTTTTTGAATGCAAAAACGGTGCAATTGAATGTTGGGTGTGCGTCTGTGTGTCTATCCAGTTGAACCCACGAGACGCTACTGCTGCGGTATTAATTCAAAATATTAGAGAAATATAGAAGCTCAATGCGGAGAAGATCTTGATTAGGTTAAAACTAAAACCAAGCTATTTGTTGTTTGTCTTAATAAATTGGGTCAATTAAAAATACAGTGGTTAAATTTAAATTTTTTTAAAAATTGCTATTGGTTTTAAAAACGGTTATAAAAATGTCAATAATTATCGATACCGGACGATATGAAACATTATATAGTTGATTTATTTTTTAGCTATATTGCCCAGCCCTACTATAAAATATGTATTTTAGGTATGGAAACAACATATTTTGAGTTTTTATATTTATGGTCATTGCACTACATTGGGCTGTATCTGACTGGCAGTTTTGTCACGAAGATCTGGCAACCCTGGCTGTTATCAGAGCAGACACTTTCAGTTAAAGGGGTCATGACATGAGAAATCAAATTTGCCTTGAGGAACAAGTGGATTAGTTTATTTTTAATGGCATACTGGATCGTGATCAGAGCGTTTTGTTTTGTAAACGAGGCACAGTGTCATGGAGAGTTCACAAAGAAACGTTTGTTGAAAGATAAAGCCATACTAGATCTGACTGCAGCTGAATCACAATCCATAAGTCAATTATTTCATAATGCTTTGTCTGATATCATATATTTAATTGTTTTTGTTTGTAGTTGATCATTTTCATGCATCAAGCGAATCAGCTGCTGTTATTGGTGAACGTGTGAAACTCAGCTGCAGTTACCCTGAGAAACACGAGACCATCAAACACATCTGCAAAGAGAACAAGAAGAAGAAGAGAACACCAAAAAATGTCCAAGAAATATTTTTTTCATTGTGCCACGCCGTTTCATAGCCACGCCCTATTTTGGAGCTCCCACCCCGTTTTGGAGTTCCCGCCCCCCATTTGGAGATCTCCAGGCTGCAGTTATACCCTTCTCATTCAATGACTCACTAAGACAATGATTTGCCCTACACCTACCAGCAGTTTTAGTGTCATTTCATTTTAGCCGAGGGGTTGAGAGAGTTTTTATTTTCAGATGTGATTGTAACAATAGTTCTGGAAATGCGTTCGAATAATGGATTATGTAAATAATCTATTAAGTGTGAAAAAATGATATAACATTGTTAAATATAACAGGGACAATAGTAATTACTTTTACTAGTAATTTAGTCAAAGTAATTGCAGTCGCACTATGCACAATGTTTTTGACAATCCCTTTGTGTGATTTCAGGCTTTTCTGTGACAGCTGCGGTTTCTGTGGGTTTGATCCTGCTGGCTGTGTGTTTAGTGCTGGTGTTGTTCAAAATAAAACACAGCAGCAAACATGGTGAGACACAAAAACACACTACTGAACATTTAATAAACCTGAGTTTCTCTGCTGGTCAAAAATACACACGGCTAAAATCATCTCCCATTTTCTTTCTCTTGTTCGCACACAGACGTCATCTCATCAGACAGAAGAGAGACGGGAGATCATGAAGCTGTGAGTTTCAGAACTGATCTGTGCTTCGACATGGGAGATAAGTTGGTATGCTGTAGCTTTTAACTAAGTGTTTATGTTTGGGGTGTTTTACTTTTTGCAGGCTCAAGAGGAGATTCAAGTCTCAGATCCTGAATCAACTCACCTCTATTCGACAGTACAGTCCTCCACATCCCCCTCTGATGGGCTCCTGTATGCTGCTGTCAGTTTCCAGAAGCATGAAGAGTCTCGCAGCGATACTACAGTCAGATTCAGAAAAGAGGAGACTCACTGTGAATATGCATCTGTCAATCACAGTATCACACCAAAAAAATATTAGCACTGGATTTGTGTTTTTATACACAACTAGAACCAGTCACTGAGAATAATGACTGAGCCGCTTGTAACAATGATTCAGTTTCATTGAGCAAGTTATTGAGCAGTCAGCGACATCTACAGGTCACTGTTGGGAAAGAAGCTGAAATGTTTCTCTGTGACAGAAGGGAATATTGAATTCTATGTGAAATGTTAACTGAAGACATAACTTTTTTTTTTTCCTTTCATAAAAGCGTCTTTAATATTTGGAAGCATCAGTTTGCCAGAAGAGAAGCATTAGGTTATGAACATTAAGACAATCTTTGATGAGTGCAGGTGTGCAAGAAAATATTTGTAATG